AATAGCTTTATTCAGAGTCAAATCATGAGTAGAGAGTAGCTCTTCGCGTGTTTTGTCATCCGAGATGCCTAAGAGCAGGCGGTCCATAATCAACAAATCTCGCATGCAGTCACAGAAACCACAAGTTTTAGCCATGTTTCGCAGAACTGAAAGATACTCATCAATTGACTCACCAGAAGCTTGATCTCTACGGTTGAACTGAAAACGTTCAAAGAATTCCTGAGTTTGACCGAGAAAATGCTGATCGTACTTGACTAGAATATCTGCCATCTTGTTACGGTCCTCGCCTTCGGAGAATTTCATGCCGTTGAAAATTCGCATGGCTTCTATTCCAATGCTATGCAGTAAAATGGCGCACTTGTAGTCTTCTGGCTGGTTGTTTAAGCCCGTGATGATACAGTAATTTTCCCATCGTTGTTTCCAGATTTTCCAGTTGTCGGCCCGATCGCCTTCGATCTCTAGAGGTTGCGGAGGAGAAACTTGTGGCCGACGAAAAGCAGGAGCTGAAGCTTGCGGTCCAGAAGCTTGACTGTCAGAATCAGTAGGCATTGTTTACCGCTGCCACCATGTAACAATTATTACCGGTGTATTAAGCCGGACAAGAAGACGAAGTGAATTGAGCAACTTCAAGATGGCGGTTCAACAACAACTCTTTTAATCCATGAAAACGAGGCTAATACGTCACGACTTACAATATCTCAATGTTAACCAATGCTAACCAATATTGTCACATACGCTGTGTACACCAAAAATTAGCTTTCTTAACACTTAATCACGGATACCTGAACTAAAAATACATCCAAGTAATTTAAGGCGCCATAAAAAAAAGCAAAAATAACAGAACAAAATTCACCTACGACGATCCAGCTTAAGAAGGCAAACAGATCAATAAAAAACCAGAAAGTTTCGTTTGTAGTTTAACCTTATTTTCTTCTCGAAAATTACGTATATCACAAATTAAAACGGGCCGAACCAAGGACCACATACTGTACATTATTTAACAGCTATATTTTATAATCGCCTTTTGGGTCACACCGCGATTAGCCAACGCTGTAAGCTTTGTTGTGACAAAACCTTCATCCTTGATAAAGACTTTTTGGTCAGTTCGATCTGTTTTTAAGGCGCATTCCTCTTTCCCAACTTATCTAGGAAAGATCGAAGCTACTCAGTCTGCAAGCACGGTAGTATAAACCAGGTCAAGATAAAGCTAAATTTTCAAATTAAACAGGTCTAAACAGGGAATGAATTTTCAAAAGAAAGTTCTTATGTGAGAGTTCAGTGAATCGTGTTTTTTATTTTTAGCTAAGTGTGAGCAGAGTAAAACGTTTTATATCCTGAAGTATTGAGATAATGAAACTGCCTATATGCATTGGTTTCTTTTCTTTTGATCCACTTGTCCTTGTGTTCAGATAGGTTCATCCTATTAGAGATAAAAATATTTTTCCTTTATTTCCTGACCCTAATGATATGTTTCATGTTCATTTACCTTGCTTAAATATTCTCACTAAAATTCTCCGTACTTCTCCATACTTCAGCCAATTTAAGGTGACATCCCACGTTTTGTCTTCAGCCTAAATGTTAACTTTGAAATTTACATAATGTACAAACTGAGTATTCACAACACTGTTGCTTTTGCCAGATTAATTGTTGCTGCAGAATATTCAGGAGGCCATTACGGCTCTTGGTATATTGCCATGTTTATGCCCCACAGTACGTCCAGAGCGGTTTTTCTGTTGAGAAATTAAAACCAGTTAACCAAGAGAGTTATTCCCCAAATCAGAGTATTGATATATTCAAATCAAGACGAATCTTTGAGTTGTCCAGCTCAAGTAGCTTAAGACTTATACCCCTCGAAGGATATAAAAATGAGCTAAAAAACGAAGGCTCCAAAATCAGAAGTTTTGCTTTCTCGAACTATTAAAAGGTAGCTCGAATTTATTTAGCTTTTGTTTGTTTGAGAAGCCTAATAAAAAGGCTAACCTTAATTGGGTTATAAATCATGAAAAGTGCTGGAAAGTATAAAATCGACAACACTGAATGAACATCAAGCTTAACCTTAATTAGGTTGAAGATTAAACTGAGTGATAATAATAAGTGAGTTACGTTTTTTTCTTTGAACTTTGAACATGTCAAAAGAAGCATTAATAAAAATTTTCCAATGTTTAAACAGCAATAATGGCCATTGCCAATTGCAGGACAAGTGAAATGGAGAACAATTTTTTTTTTCAAGGTACGCATCAGCCTTGAATCTTGGCCAGCGGCGTCTCGTGGTGGCAGGAAATCAGATTTTGGAATCCAGTCTCCAAGAGCGCGATCCATTCAACCAAAATTTCCGGAATATTTCAGTCCAAAACTCAGTGGATCGGTTCGGTCCAACCGGAAAAGTTTCGAAAAAACGGGTCCACCTTTTGAGGTAGACCAATCATTTTCCCGGTCGGACCGGTTGGAATTTTGGTTGAATGGATCACGCCTCAATACTCTGCATTAAACCTTCACGTACATGCAGGATTCATTTGTGTTATCTAAGGTCAAGTAATACGGGCAACATTTTCGCACAACTTGTCGCGCAACATTGTTGCGTTGCAAGTTGAAAAGTGTTGTCTGTATTACCACCTTCGCTCTCAACTTGTCACGCAACAAATTTCGATGTTGCAAGTTGTGGCAACATGTTGCGCAAAGTTGACCTGAGTTCTACTTTTTGCAACAAACTTTCAATTTTATTATTTGCGTCACAACTTGCTACGCTTTACAACACCTGTGACTGGTCAATTTTCCCGCACCAAAAACGCGGGAAAGATGGTGAGTAAGCGCGCTCTTGACCTTGGGCATATTTGGGCAGGAAGTAAACATGGCCGAGGTTGTGGAGGTTGAGAATGTTGAAACCCAAGATTGTGAATTTATTAGTGAAAAAATGTCAGAGGCCCAAAGATTTACAGTAATAGAAAAATGATCAGAAGGCTAGGATGTGCAACTCATAAGACGATTATGATCAAATATGATAAACTACATGTTTCAGCAAACAACTGTATATAAACACTAGAGAACATTTCCTGTTGGCAATATTTTTAACTAGGTTTTTGTCACTTTATAAAAACTAAAATAAGTCGTAGATGAAATGTAAACTACATTTTGTAAAACAATTATTTTGTCCCTTGTCAAAAGGAAACTTATTTTGTTTGGCCTGATTCCCATCTGTTAACATACATGTCATGTGATAATCCACTCTTTATTTGCGAAGGGCACAAGGTAAATCTCACAGGTTCCCTAAATAAAGATTTTCTATAAACCTGCATTATTATTTTTAAGACAGATCAATTTTATTATTTGCGTCACAACTTGCTACGCTTTACAACACCTGTGACTGGTCAATTTTCCCGCACCAAAAACGCAGGAAAGATGGTGAGTAAGCGCGCTCTTGACCTTGGGCATATTTGGGCAGGAAGTAAACATGGCCGAGGTTGTGGAGGTTGAGAATGTTGAAACCCAAGGTTGTGAATTTATTAGTGAAAAAATGTTAGAGGCCCAAAGAAAAGATTTGTGCAAAGAACTTGAAAAGCACCCATGTCTGTGGGAAACTTGTGGACCAGAGTATAAAAACAAGCCACGAAGGTCAAGGGCTCTGGATGAGTTATGTCAAAAATTTAACATTTCACCAAGCTGTCTCAAAAAACAACTACATAGCCTTAGAACGGCATTGACAAGGGAAGTAAAGAAAGAAACCACAGAGGGTCAACAGTCGAGGTGGAAATTTTACACCGCTTTATCGTATATGAAAGATGACGTTGTCCGTTCTCTTAAAGCGAAGGAAGAAACTGAGTGGACTGAAGAAGAGACGGAGCAATTGATTGAGTTTTACAAGCAAAACGACCAGCTATGGAATCATCACCTTACTTCATATAGGGACAGAAACTTGAGAGACTTAAATTTCAAGAAGCTGTGTGAAATTCTACCGAACAGAAGCCAGGATGATGTTAAAAAACAGTGGAGTTCGTTAAAAACCATTTTCTACCGGGAATTAAAAAGGGAAGAAGACACGAAGGTGAGTGGAGCGGGTACCGACACGGCATACTTTTCCCAATGGAGATATTTCAAAGCAATGATGTTCATAAAAGGGAGCGACGATGTAGATCCTGCCGTTACTGCCCTTGCAACTGCTGATGAAAAAGAAAACGAGAGACCAGCCAAGAAAACAAAGGCAGATAAATTGAGAGAAATGGACGAAATAAAATTTGATTTTTTCAAGGAAGCCGTGAAATGCCTTCAAAGCCCAGCAGCAGCAAGTCAGGAAAACAATGATTCAATCAGCTTGTTTGTGAAGTCACTGGAGTCTCAGTTACGACGGTTTTCTGGTCGACAACTTGCTATAGCAAAGAAAAGGATTAACGATGTCATTTTTGATTTGGAAATGGAATGCTACGTTCCTCAAGGTACACTTGCTCCTACAAGTACATGTAGCTCGCTGTCTACAGGCCTCAATGCTTTCAACCCACAAGCTCCAGTAACTAGTTTGAACTCTGACAATTTTAACTGGTCTTGACAGTAAACGCTTTGTAGTCCGATTTGTATGAAATGGCGCCAATATTTTTTGTATAATGCATACACTTCCCGAGCCTCACATTCTTGTGAAAAGTCGTGTCTAAAACTTTAGTCTTAAAATAATCATGAACTCAAGGGCAAATGAAGGATGTGCCGGTATATTTCAGAAAGTATTAGCGCCACAGGGTAGTTTTTGAACGTGTTACTGTTATGTTGTAATATCACTCAAAACTACTCTGGCAGGTTAAATTTCAAATAAGCCAACAACAAACTGGACGATGAATTTGTTGTAAATAAGGACTTAACAACTTAAATGACTTCCAGATTTCTCATGCAAGTCCTGTCAAATCAGGGAAAACTTTATTCATTCTTAGTGTAGCAAGACAGGATCATACCAACATTTTTATCGGTACCATATGTACATAATTTTTCTAATAACAATAATTAAAAAGTAAAATCGACAGCTATAAAAAGTTTGCTGATGCTTCGAGGGCTAGTCATTTGTAATATGTGTCACGTATTGCTTACATGAAGTGTATTTTGTATCATCTTGTATGATCTTACATTCTGAGCATCTTATATAAGCGAAGTCTTGTGTAAACACGTGGAAGTTTTTGTAACTAAGGGACGGTTCATTATTTATGAGGATGACCGGGTCGGGAAAAAAATAATAGCTTTCCTCTTTCTTTCTAAAGCCCGCCCAAAAGGCATTTTGTTTTTTCGTAGCCCGTTCACTATTTGGGGTCAAATTTTTCAAAGCCCGTTCAAATTGAAGTGAGTACCTTGTAAAAATCATTCCATGTTTATTTACGACTAGAGCAACTAGTGCATGTTCGGATCAAATACACAACTGTTCGCCGTTCGAGTCAGCAAACGGCTATCAAAGGAGTTCAGCGATTACAAACGATAATTTATTAACATCTGTGAAAAGTGCACGTTAACAAATGCCATCCAGCTTGAGGCATTTCATCGTTTGCCAAATAAGTGAAAAAGTCCTAAATATATCTTTGAACACGGGTATATAACCGTTCGTATTAAATGACTTGCAAGAGGCGTTTGGAGTTTTCCAACCTCTCCAAAGAGAACTTCTTGTGGAGTAACGTTTCCCTTTAAAGTTTTTGACATTTTGTTAAAGGAATAAGTTTCCACAAACATGTTTTTAAACACGTTCGCGAGACGTTCACGAGGACATTCAAAACTTTGTTCCAGGTCTCTGTTGCAGCAGCAAGACATGGGAAGACTGGTAACTAATGTCCACAGGGCATGAAAAAATGAAACGGATTTATACGATTTATATTGTGGTGTTTCATATTAGGTTCTGTTATAGCGCCCAAATTAATTTTTTTAAAAAGTCAACTGTTTGCAAACTCAATCAAAACCATAAAATTCCTCTTCATCTGAATCGCTTTGGAAGACAAACCATATCTTTTCACTTTCATCGATGCTATAACGTTCCCGTTCGCGTGATGAAGTCGCGATCGTGTCTTGGTCTGAGTCAGGCCCACTTAACAATTCTGCAAGGACAATATCCTCCTCACTTTCATCGTCCCCTGAGATGTCAATTTCCTCGTTGTCATCTTCCGTTCCACATTCCTTCGTCTCCTCGTCAGTAAACTCATTCGTATCTTCCTGTTGACCATGGTTTCCGAGAAGCACATGCAACGAGACTCTCCGTATCTTTTCAGCTTTGGTGCCGCTGCATACGAGTTTGTAATGTTTAAGGTATTTATTCAGCTCAGATTCAAGCAATTTTTTAAATCTCCAGACTCTACGAGATCGCGCCAGGCATATTCTCCAAACGTTTTGGACATCATTTACGTTCATTTTATGCTTTTGTTCTGCGCGCCCCCTTGTTCTAATGCCGCTTTGTATTTTAAGATCTTCTAAATGGGCAATGTATGCCTTGATCAAGTGCGGCTCCACGGCTAATTTCTCCGAAAACTGCTGGAGCTCTTCTTCCGTTGTTAACATGCCGTCACTAAACATTTTCTTTATGTTTGCATGTGGCTGAAAATCATCGGGCACTCGAGGCTGCCCGTTTCCTGTGGTAGTTGGTGTGTCATTGACCGATTTAAAATGGGTAGGATTTTCAGGATCTGGCACAGGCTGGGGAATACGTTTCATGGGCACTGGACTTGTCCATCCTTTGTTAGAACAAAATGAACAACGTTCAGTGATGGCTGTAGAATAGTCACCGTACAAGTACTCCATAAAGAGCTCACCAATTTTGTAATGGGAATCGATGAATCGTAGAATTTTTTTAATGTACGCACTTCCAGGGACACACGATTTCTTATTCTGAGTGGCAGATTGGTATTCCTTAAGATTACTTTTGTTGAAAAAAAAGTTGTCAGCTTCATTTTTTTCAGCAAGGAGAGCACTGTGGTGCGTGCAGAAAAAATATTTTCAATTCAGTAGGAGTTGCAACTTGAGATCCTCGATCAAAACATCTTGTTTTTTTGTGTACAGTCTGGCGGAGTCCAAAGATTTAATATTCCAACCGTTGGAGTTCACTTTGAGTAAAATCCTTGTACATGCATCATTTGAAATTCTAATTTGATTACAAGGTCTGAAATGTCAAGGAATATAAACAACTATAAAAGAGCAGCTCACAAAGTACATTTGTGTCATTCCATGGCCTGTCAAAATTCTCGAGTGTTCGATCGCAAAACGCGAGCTTTTTCTTGCGGGTATATCCCTGCATTACCAAAAATATTGTAGCAATATTTATTTGATGTGAAAGAAGTACGACAATTTACCGGGTGAATTTTCAACGACGAATACAGTTTCCATGTGTTGTTCTCATCAAACGACTGCCGCGTTTCTACCACAGTTTTAGTTTATGTTGATTTTTTTTAAAGCCTGGTCTCTTTGTTCAAGAAAAAAACACAAAGCCCGTCGCCACGGCAAGAAAAATTTCCAAAGCCCGTTCGGTTTTTTCCCGACCCGGTCATTCCCATAAATAATGAACCGTCCCTAAAGACGTTAGCTTCGAGCCGAGTGTCGCCGTTGTTAGAGTTCTTACTGAGTGTTATCCCTCTAAACGTTACAATATTATTATATGGATTTGCTTCACATAACGAATAGGGCTTAACCACCCAGACTTTCAAAAGTTGTCTATCAACTCAAATGGTAAAATGGCTAAATGTATATATTTCACCCCTCCCACCAATGCAGCAACACTGTTTGTAAAACAAACATCCTTTTATTCCTTGCGTGACTATATATACTTTATAAATGACCAGCTCTTGAAAAACGTTTAGTGAATTTAATGTTACTTTATATAAGAATATATAACTTATCATTTTATGGACAGTGATAATGTGGACAATTTCTTGTTAAATGCTGACAAAAAAAGGTTGTTATGATTAGCCCGTATTATGAAGACACACATGAAAGTGCACAGATCATTATAAAAATAGCCTTAATTTAACAGATGGACAATAAAATTTGGTCCTCCATAGTGTGTACAGCTAAATATTTAACTAGAAGTATATACGTCAACAGCAATAGAATACAAACATGCAGTCAGTCACACTCCACAAAGTTCCCACTGCCATGGTACTGCACCCTCAGAGTTAAAATAAGTCATGTACTCCTCCCTGATAGCCCTCGCTTCATTCGAGAAGTTGTTGCTACAGTGGGGATGGTAGTCCAGCCAAGAAGTTTGCTGATCACTCAACCTCCAAGGTGCTGGAATAATATTTCCTTGACCATCCTCCACATCTGTTAATCCATCCACCCTGAAGACAGCAATTAATGCGTACAAAGTAGGCATATAATACTAAAGAAGTCCTGATTTTTAATGAAAATATCAGTGAATACGTAATAGTGGTTTACAATGAAGAATGGTATTGCAGTATAAAATACCGTAAATCCTCTATTAAGCGTTAAGCCCCTCCCTCTCTTTTTAGGAAAAGCCTTACAGGCCAAATGTTGCCATTACTTGTGTTTTTTTTCTTCTAATCCTTTCTTTCTCCTTGCTCTTTCTATTTTCCATTTTCCTTTTATGCTAGAGTTACATTGTATTTGGTAAAAGGGTGGGTGGACTCAACTTTGAGCCCACCAGTCTCTGTTTCCAAAATACACACAGTTGACCAAAACACAAAAACTTCAAAATACCTATTTTTCTTTGCTAGAAATCGCTGTAATAGATAATTTACAATATCTTACCTTAGAAAGTTGTGTAGTACCAATGCTACCATAATCAAGGCAATGACCTTGTCGGGAGGTAAGAGAATGGGGGTTCTAAATACCCTCGACCTATTTCCAATGATTCCCAGACCGTTTTCCGATATCCTTCGCATACAAAACAGTCGATAATTGAAAACGCGCTGGGCTCTTGACAACCCTGACAGTGGAAATGGCTTCATTAAATACCTTGTTAGGGCAAAGGCATCATCTCCTGTCAGAACGTAAGGGACCAGCATTGACCTTCCCGGCAGGGGTTTTGGTTTGGGCAGATTCAGTGGATTGTCCGCTGAGCTTAATGCCATTTTTAGGTCACAATTTTGCCATATGGCAGTCTGGCGAACGGCCATTCGTTCTCGCACTCGCCCAAATGCACTGGTAATCAGGCCCAAAGACAGCGAGGAGGACAATGCTATTGTTTCCTTTGTAATCGTAAAAATGGGAGCCCGAGTTGGGTGGTTGCTGAATGATCACCCGTTTCCCGTCAATTGCACCAATACCATGAGGAAAATTCCACCTGGACTCGAATTTGTCAGCGAATATCAGCCACTCTCTTTCCGTGCTGGGAACTTTTAGAAATTCGGGCGCCAATACTTGATAAAGGGCACGACTTGTTTCATAGACGATTGACGAAATCGATTGTCGCGAAATGCGGAACGAGTACTCAAGTGAGTGAAAGCTTTCTCCAGTTGCTAAATAGCCTAATGTAACAGCGAGGCGTTCGTCTGGAATTGATTGGCGAAGGCTGCTGTTTTTTCTCGATGAGAGGCGATACTTTTTCCACCAGAAAACAAAACTTCTGTTTCGTCATGCGAAAAAATTCTTTGTACGCAACACGATCTCCCATTTCCAGTTCCTTTACCAGCTGGTGGTAAATCCCTCTCTCCTCTCGCAAAGCAGTCCAGTCCCTCATATAAACTTTTCGGCTTCTCTTACGGGGTTGCTGGGCCTCTTCCTCAAGTAAAAAACTTAAACCAAGGGCGGCTATCGCTTGCTTTCTACGAAAGCCCAGCGCATCTGCCATTTTGTTTGCTGACACAAAAACACGCTGTCGACCAATCACAACGCAGGAGTTTCTTCATTAGCTACAACTTGCAACATCGAAATTTGTTGCGTGACAAGTTGAGAGCGAAGGTGGTAATACGGGCAACAACGCTTTTCAACTTGCAACACAACAAGTTGTGCGAAAATGTTGCCCGTATTACTTGACCTTTAGGACCATTAAGTAAAAATCATGTTGACTACATCCTTATATACAGCAGCTTAAGGCTTGGAGCGTAACAGAAATTCATCCTCGGGCTTAAAATGACTCAAGAGGTGAGCGAGTAAAGGTTTCCTAGCTTTTTGCTAATGTAACTGTGGTCAACTCTAACACAAGGAAAACCATGCCTTCTCTAGAAACCGATAAAGTTCTAACAAACTGAAAATGACTGTTATTATAAGCTTATAGTTTTTCCGAATGCTCCATCTCCCGATATTGATATATTTCTGTAGTCTTTTAGTTACTTAACTTTCCAGTGTTTTGTTATAATATTATTACTATTTTGCGTGCTGTAATAATTTTCACAATCACAAGTTTTGAAGAACTACATATGGAATATAAAAATAAAATATATGCCCGGCAGCCGGGAAGGGTCTAAGCTGCACGGCAGTCGAAATTTTTTTTTTTTTGATTTTGTACAAAATCCCTTTTTCTAAATATAATCGTTTGACAGTAATATATCTTCATTTAGAATTACCAAGGGATTAGGAAAACAGGAATGGCTTCGCAGTAGAGCGGTTGTGGTTTCTTGGGCATAGAGCCTGAGCCGGTCTATGCCGTTTCGGCACATAGAAACATTCAAGACTCACGAGTACGCTTTCGCACTGGCTAAATACCTGGCAGTTTGAAAGCCATCTGGAAAGTTAGAAAGCCTGCTAGTAAGCCAAAGTATGCATACTAGCCTCTATTAGTTTTCCAAAGCAATAACGAAAATATTAAGTGCTTTCATTATGAAACCTCAGAGTCAATGCACTGTGTGAATCAACTAACCTGTGGAAAAAAGGGTGCAAAGGCAAACGCAGTGCGCATTACGGCCCACAACAAACTGGAAAGGCAGTCCCTGATAACACCAAAGTAAATATAGCCAGTTATAAAAAAACAACTAATGAGTCACGAACGAAAAGGAATAACAAGACAAGCTAAAAAACACTAAAAGGGGCAGAAAAGATGTGAGAGCTCAAAAAGAATAATAACAATACGACTGACCTATCACAGAAATCACGACGATAACTGTGATCCTCGGTTACTTCCTTCGCAATAATGGCACTGAGATTGCGGACGTGAACTTTAAGGTGGCTCCCTAGAGTAAATTGGCCACGCGCAGCCTGAGCACTAGTATGGCGCGGGCTTTAAAATCCGCGCAACGTCCACGCAAAAATAAAACAAACATGGCCTCTTTGTTTCGAACAACTTTTTAACCTTCTGTTGACGCTCATTGTGCAAAAGTTTGGTTAGTGTAGGTCAAACATTTGTGAGAGGAGACAATGTTAAATAATACACCAGTTACAAGTCACTATCGATCTCCATAATCTCTCCATAAGAGTAAATTGTATGTAAAAACGAAGCAGAATATTTCCAAAGATATCAATTCTTTCGCTTCAAAAGTAGACAAACGTAAAATAGTCAAAGTAAATGGCGAATGGAAACTTTACAAAGAAAACAAAGAAATAAGCACTCTAACCCTAAAGAAGCAACGTTACTGTTTCTGACCTTTGGTTCACTGTCAGTGGAAAGATCTGAAAGATCGAGCCAAGTCCCGAGCAACCACTGAAGAATGTCTACACCGGCGGCACTCCTCGGTCACTTCATTTCTCTTACATTTGATTTGATTAAGAAATTCTAGAAGTGGCTTTAACGCAAGATTACAGGAGGTCTAAATTTTGTTTGTTTTGCTGACTCTATCACGTTGTTTAAAAAACTTATCAGAAGAAAGGTTTCCTACTTAACTTGCATCCTGATCGAAGGAACCTTCCCATCGACGAACCAACATCTTTGTACTTTTTCCTTTTCAAAAGTTCTTTAACACACAAAGTGCACTAGAAAATGTTGTTGCACAGCGAAAAATAATTTTTGAGTCACAGGTTGACCCTTGACGAAAGCAGTAGTAGGTTATCCGTCCAAAAGTACGGTCTTGTACGTGCAGTTGAGGACGTGATGTACTTTTTTTAGATCGGCGCCATGTTTTACAGCAGGCTTTTAAAGAATAACTTCGCCGTCAAAATTATCCCTAAAGAGGAACAAGGTGGAAAAAGTATCCGGAAGTGGGCTGCAACTGAACAGTCGGTACAGCGGATTAGGAAATGAAGGCCTTATTGCGATCCTTGCAAAAGCACTGTCTTCATCTCCGATGATCGCCATCCTCACGAGTAGTGACCACCACGGCTCGAATTTTAATTTGGCTACAATGGTTAAGTATTTCGAAGAAAAAGATACAGTGTTTGGTATAAAATTGAGTCCGCTATCTCTCCTTTTTCAACAGCCGAGATATCACCGTAATAATACTGATAAACAGCTTTAACAATGGCTTTCGTACTTTTCGAAGAAATCACGTTTTCAGCTTTGTGCGTTATGCGCATTCGAGCGTGATGGCTCGCGCGTGATTTTGCTCATACGACCTCAAACCACGCGTTTTTCGGATTTTTGTGACGTAAGCGCTGTTAATTAACCGTGAATTGCTCGCGTTTCCTTCGGTAAATTTTTTAAAAAATCGCCTCATTTCTTAACAGTTGCGGTACCGTTGTGCTGTCCTTTTCTTTTTAAAATCTGTAAGAGCTAAACTCCTCTATTCAGAAAATTTACAAATTTCAAAATATTGGCGAAACCGTCTTAACCTCCCCATGTTTTTTCCACTTTAAAATGTTAAGCAATATGGTTAACATAAAATGGCAAAGTTTAAAGACATTTCACCAAGAAAAAAAAGAAATATTAAGAAAAAGTGATCAAAAATGACAAAATTACTGCCTGTTTAAGGATGTGATGTTGCCATGGCAATGGCCTTAATCCAGAAAATGAAACTTGATAAAGGAGACTTTTTACATGGGTAAACTTAGCGGTGAATTTCGTGAACCAAAGCGCAAAGACAAAGTAACTAGATTTCCTTCTGTATCGTATGCTAGATAGCTAGGGTTATTAGTAAATACTCTAGGGAGCCACCTTAATTAGATTGATCGTAATCACCACCTGGCGATCGTGATTACTGCACCACGATCGAGAGCAATATGGCACTCGAAGATCGCCGATTACAACTTAACTAAATCGCACCGCGATCGCCATCACCGCTTCACAGTAAGTACAATGCCCCTGCGATCGCGATTACCAAACTGGGGTTGTAGTCCTGACATATAAATCACTGATGTGACTTTACTAAATCTCGCCGCGATCCTGATCACCACGCCGCGATAAGTACAATGTTGCTGCGATCAGGGATACTATTTTTCAAAATCACATGGGCCCATAAGCTGCATATCGTTTAATATCATCGAGCTAAAATAAAAACTGTCTGTCGTCGCAATCGCAATCATCTTCCTGCGATCACGATCATTCCGCTGAGATCGCTCTATCTTCCCTGCGATCGCTATCACCATGCCGCGATAAGTACAATACCACTGCGATCGCGATTTCATCGCCAGGATCGCAATCCTGACCCTGAGATCGCGGATATTTTTCTGAATCGCGCCGCGATCGTAACCTTCTTACTGCAATCACGATCGCGATCGGCTGAGATCGTTATAACTTAGCAGCGATCGCGATTACATCGCCAGGATCGCAATCCTGACCTTGGGATCACAGATACGATTTTTCAAAATTGTGCCGCGATCGCGATCATCTTCCCGCGATCATGATCATTCCATTGAGATCGCTATAACTTCGCCGCGATCGCGATCATCACGTCGCTATTGCAAGTGCGATCTTTGAGTCGGGTGGTCGATAGATAATGCCGACAATTATATTCTTTTCTTTTGTCCTATTAACTTCAACAAACAAGAATTCAGCAGATTTGTCCTCGGGGACTGCTAGATCATGACGTTCTTTGTAATTTAAATGTTCACCAATGTAAAGGCCATCACCTCCACCAATGCGATTAACTTTAGGTTTATGCAAAAAATTGTAACCTACTATATCGGAAAAATGATAACAATCATCAAGCCAAGTCTCAGAAATCCCAATAATAGGAAATTTCACTCGAACTTGGCCTAGAAAATTTGTAAGGTTATCAAATTTTTTAGATAAACTACGAATGTTCATATAGAGGAACGAAAGGCCAGTTTCAAGGATACTGCATTTTAAATTTAGGCGACTTTGGTTTTTGGCTAACATGTTTTTAAAGCTATCTTCGGTATAGTATTCACAGCTACTGTTTTGAGTCAGTGCCATTTCATGAAGACCAGTTATTTGAGGAAAGGGCACAAAACACAATGGGTATACGAAGATGATGACAATGAATACGATAGACTTGAGGGCCTGGAAACAGAATTTGCAGACTGGCATGCAAAGTTCAATTTGTTTATGGTTTGTATTTACAATTAAGATCAGAGCGAAGACTTAAAAAAGGGTTGCTGTTTAGCATCACACAGTGCAATTATGACATTGTTACCTAGCCTCAAGGCAAAAATGTTTACTTCAAAATATAGTCCTTTTCTCTGAACTCTATACCAAATAAAAAAGATTTTGTCATTTCGAAGGAAGTAAAAGAATCTGCTTTGAAATCTCTGTGGAGGTGTGCACAACTGCAGCTCCTGAATTGCCGAGTAGCAGTTTACATTCCATTTATTGGCAGCTGGGAAAAACATTTCAAGGGAATATGTGGGACAGAGCCCTGTGATAAATTCAATGACATCAATATATAAGACATATATAAAAAATACTTAGAATTGTTTGTTCTAATTATATATAACAGATTGAAAATGAGCTCTTTGTTGACAACCCCTCAGCTGCAGAGATTGAAACTTCTCGTTCTAGCATGAACAGAATTTTTAAGACCAATGCTGTGAAGGGGGTGAACAACCATTACAACGAATATAAGGAGTTTCGTTCACGTGAAGTAGAGGCTCATGCCTGCGCTTCATTTATGGAAATGTCAGGAATGACAACATTTGGTGGTAAATATAGATATACAGTCAAACCTCCACTTAAACTCCACCTCACCACAATGGCCACTCTTTTGCAGGACTGAGTCCATACATTCACTCTTGGTTAAACCTCTCTACAACAGCCACCTCTTTACAATTGCCACTATCCTCCCCAAGATGGCCATAATCATAACTCAATTGAGCTATTAATAAAAACTGCAATTCAACATTTGTAAAGTTTATTACAGCAGTGGCTGAAATCGGAAGTTGTATTAATATTTTGTGTCATGTGAATGTGCCATGTTTGCCTTTTGAAAGCATTAAAAGGCTTCTTCCATGGTTGGATGTTGTAAATGTTCTTTTATGTCATTGTTTTTCTAAACAGGTAATCCAGATTATGATGCATGAACCAAACAGGACTTGAGTAGAGAAAGTCGTAGGAAGTGGCTACATGAACTCTGCCTTAAACATGTAGAAAAATACATTATGACAGGCAGTGAAGTTGAACCTTGGTCCAGCAAGTGAGAGAGTTGGAGAGTGCAGTTGCCACAGCAGGTTTCTTGTGCCGGGTTGATGGGTGTGACAAAAAATTACAGTCAACACTCAAGTAGAGTCAAGTAAGTGCGAATGGGGTGCAGCTGTTACTCCAAGTTTATATGATTTTTCAATTTCTATAACAACTCTGGACTGTCATAACAGGCCATGCCCATGCAGGGGTTTCCCCTGGCTATAACTAAAAACAAGATCCTAGCTACTTTTATAGTAAAATAACGGAAAACTATAGGACCCAAAGAAATCAATTATATCTGTTTGAATCCCTGCCTACACTCCTTGTATTTTTCTGACAGCTTGAAATATTAGTGTAACCCTGTTGGGTTAACTCCACTATATGGGAGTATAATCAAACAGTTGGATTTTTGTTGTTGTTGCTAAGGGGCCAGTTGTCAATTTGGGTTTCTCCTTCCAGATTCAATGTTGATATTTATTTTTGTTTGTAAAAGGCATGAAGTTACGCACCATCGCATTGTTTGGGAACAGTATGAGGCAGGGAAAGAAAGGGATGTTATGGGATTTTACCACTGTAGAATGTCATATGGCCTGGTCTTCTCAACAAAATCCACCAGAAACAGGTATGAAAAAACTATAAGTCTGAGTCTTAATTATTTTGCCCTCTTATGCTCAGTTCATTTCAGTTGACTAATGAAAATGTAAGTGTCCTATATAATTGTCACAAAATTAGTTGTCATTGAAGATGACAAAGCCTGGTTAATAGAAGCAACATATTGGTAAGAGCAACTATTAAAAATGCTCTTTTTTCCTTAAGTAGACATGAAAGCACAGCACATTCAGGCACCACTGTCCAGACAGAGCAAGATCAGCAAGATGGGGCAGGGAAAGAGGGAGCAAAGGGAGATTTCCTATTTAACTACCATCAGGCAAAGCTTACCTTTGGACTTATCTTGTTTGAGTTTGATGATGCTATTAAAGAAGGGGATGGTGATAGGCTCCATGATTTTTACAGGTTTGGCTTGCTTTTGTTCAAAGCATATGGCAAGATCAAATATGCTTACGTAATCTTGCTTTACTTGGCCAAAATTAAGGCGATATTGTTAGAATCAGATGCACATGATCTTAAATGGAACAGAACATTTAACAAACGTTGCTTTCCAGGAATGAACATTCCACTGGACTTGCGAACTGAGCAGTACAATCGTGATGTAAAATGCATGTGGAAGGCACTTTGTACCAATATTGATGAAGATTCAGCAGCAAGAGTAGCTAATACTGTTGAGCCAATGGAAAACATTTATGATTCAATAAGGATTGACTGTGGACTGCCAGAAATCCGAGGTTACAGGTCTGGAGGAAATCCTGTAGATAGGAGTTCATCCATTTCACAAGTACATGCCTTTAATGTTACTGATTCTTATTACAGAATGACAAGGAAACTAAACTAGAGCAACGCGGGATGACAGAGTAGTACCCAGGCCCCTATCTTAGAAGTTGGGTGAATTAACATATTATGCTCTATCTCCCCCCCAAGTCTTTAATGTTCCTGTGGAGTAGTACTGAGAATTTTGACGAAGGGCAGTAAAGACTGATATGGTTGAATATACAGCTGTAATCTAACACAACAACAAAAATAAAGGAAAGTTTTAACAGTCAGTGTCACTGATTTGCTTGAGATGTTCATCAGCCAAAGTTTTTATTGTGCACTGTTCTAGGAGGCCTTTCTTGTTGTAATCCATCAATCTCTGCACAGCTAAGGGCGGCCTCTTTGGTAGTGGCTGACCTGCAGGGGAAGATGTAACAGGGGTAGTTGGGCTGGCAATTGTAGGCAGTGGAGAAGCAGGAACATCCGAGGAAGGCGTGACTGGTGGGGGTGGGGACGCAGCTTCGGGGGCTGGTGTTTGGTGGCTGGGGCGGTGCGGGGGTGTTTGTGCAATAGGGCCCCCGGTGGCTGGAGCCTGTAACTGATCACATGGTGGGGCAGCTAGTGTGCTGGCTGGGCTTGGCAGGGAGGGTGGTGTGGTGGTAGGCTGGAACAGCGGCCTGGAGATGTGTCAGAGGTCATCATCGACAGTTCGCTTGGGTGGCGGTGTCTGCACAGGGATGTATTGCCGCAGAAACTGGCATCGGTGTCGAGGCTGCCAGTGGTGCTGGTGTTATTAGTAATCATTTGTTTGACAGTTTTTACAGCAACTTCTGCCCTGCAGTTTGAGTGCGGAAATGCCACAGATGACAAGCGGTGGTACACGCCCCAGTCTGTCAGGAATTGCCATGTAACAGTGGCAGTGAATTCGGGGCCACCATCCGTCGCACATTTGTCAGGAATGCCGAATGTGGTGAATATGCGGTGTAAACAGGAGATCAGGCCTTGGGAGCCCTCAGTTGCGCGTTCAATGATGGGCCAGTTTGAGTAGCGATCAACTACGATGAGGTAGTGGAAGAAATCAGCACATATGCACTGGAAGGGGTATGCTGGTGGCACAGGAGGAGATGGTGGCACGCTGGGTTGGGACTGCTATAGTACGCAGCGCTGATGAAGCTGATGATGCCAGCTGGTCGTTGATTGCAAGGGAGCATAATGCGAACGGCGGCTTGTCACAGGGGATATGATCCAGGAATGAGCACTGGTATGGATCAGGTGGGGGTGGAGTAGGTGAATCACTGGTGGTGGCGATGTCATCTGGTAGGATCAGCATTTCTGGGGTTTTTGGGCCAGTGGGGTGGCGGGATATGGCATCAGCTGATTTGTGCCGAATGCCAGGGATGTATACCATTCTGAATCTATAATGCAGGGTCTTCTCCTTGACGTTACGGAGTCTAGCGTTTGGAATGTCCTCGAGGGATCGATCACAGAGCACCTTGAGCAGGGGCTTGTGATTGACAGCAACAGTCCAGTCACTGCAGCCAAGGAGAAAGAATCTGGCTTTATCAAGGGCATTGGCAACGGTGAGGGCCTCCCCCTCAATTGGGGAGTAGCCTGACCTTGGGTGTTCCTTGTTAGGTCCTTGCATACACGACCTTGTTTTTGCCCGTAACTTTAGTTGCCTCAATGTAATCCTGCCAGCGAGTTAGAAAATATGACCATTCCTCGCTGGATCCTGCAGCAGATGCTGTGTGTCGTCGGACCTTTACGACTTTGGTGGCTGGCAGTGCAGCGCTGGCCGGTGAAGCGGTGTGTATGCCAGTTGAGTGGACCGATAGCAACACGGCAGCGAGTTCATCTTGGACGTTTTCCGTTTCGTATGTGCATTCAGGGAACGGCCACTGGTATTTTGGCATTATTGTCTTGTGTGTGCCGGGAAGGTCCTTTGTGTTTTTTGTTGTCCTCGTTGTCGTTGTTTTGCCCGCTCCTCGTGGTGCTGTGAGTATAGGGGAAACAAGATGGCAGTGGAGGTGATGCGAAGATATTCGTCTTTATGGCAATGTAGGACGCTTGTCGTTGATTGCTTTGTCAGTGGTTGATTCCTTAGCTCAGAGTAGCCTTGTCATAGATAGGAGTTCATCCATTTCACAAGTATATTTCTTTAATGTCACTGGTTGTTGTCACAGAATGACAAGGAAACTAAACGAGAGCAGTGCGGGATGACAGAGTAGTACCCAGGCCCCTATCTTAGAAGTTGGGTGAATTAACATATCATTATGCTATATCCTGAAGTTGCCATTTACCAATTGATCTGCGATTTAATGCAAATTTCTGCATTCAAACATAATCCAGGCAGGGTAGGGCACCCATCCTTTCCTGAATTCTCATCTAATTTATTGCAGAATCTTGATTACCGTGATCTACACACGTGGATGAATGGGCTTATAAAGACACGGCAGCCTGTCTACAAATTAAACAGAGTTTAATTGAAGTCATATTAAATCCCAACTAAAATCTATATACCACAAGAAGTGACGATTTCTCTTTCCTGTACAGTATGAATTTATTTACCAAGTGGGTTTATAAATCAAGTACCATTTACCTTCTATAATTAGTGTAGTTTTACTTATTCATTTAAACATCCTTTACATGTTTTTTTTCATTTAAACAGCGAGTTTTTAAAATCACATGAAAAATAGCCATAAATTTTGTTCAGGGTATTTTGAATGGCAGTTTAGTACGGATCAAGGTCAATAAAAATGCCACCAGCCAGCCATCACCAAAAAAAAACATTGTAAATGTTTTAGATACAAGGGCCAAAGGAACTGTATCTTGTGAGACCAATAACAAATCCCAAACAGGCAGGCACATCTAAACTAGCCAGGTTGGGTGGCTAATATGAATACAGAATTGTCTTTTTGCCAACCTCTGCAACCATATAATAAAAAAATAATAATGTACGGTAGTAAAATGCCTCTTTTAAAGGGTCAACTATTTGACTCTTTGTGTGTGTGTGTGTGTGTGTGTGTGTGTGTGTGTGTGTGTGTGTGTGTGTGTGTGTGTGTGTGTGGGGGGGGGGGGGGGTGGGGGGGGGGGGTAGTGCTTGGGTGTAGGTTTTTTTTGGGATATGAGGAAGTGTTTTATTTTTTTTTTTTTATCATTAGATGATGAAAAATATTTTTTTTGACGTGATTTTTTCTTTTTCTATTTTATTACTTAATTTTTTTTCCTTTTGTATCTATGTTATGATAAAAAAAAAAAATAAAAAAGTACTATTGTTAAATGGTGTGTTTTTATGGTGGGTTTTTTTGTTGTGTTTGTGTGTGTTGGGGTGGGGGGTGGGGGGGGGGGGGGTTGGGGTGGGGTTGGTTGGTTGGGTGGGGGGGGGGGGGGGTATGGGTGATGTGGATTCCTCTGGTGAAAGATTATTTTCTGACATGTAGAACAGTGTAAGATTTTTTTTTTCAGCATTACAAGGAATGAAAGATATTTTTCAGTGTAGGAATTTCCTTGTGTATTTCATTGCAAACAATTTTTTCCCTCAAAATCTGCCTGCCCGAATTTTTTTTTTTTATCACCCATACCCACCTCAAAAGTCATAGTCCGAGGCTTGTACATCTTTGGAAGGGGTTTTAGGAGGGCTTGAATCCCAGGCTCCACAAGTGTCTACATTAACTCAGGTGTAGATTCAGTCTAATAAAGCATCTGGATCTGGTAAATGATCTTCAAAATTAGTATGATCACACAAAAACAATTCTTCCAGTCCAGTAATGAACTCTTCAGAGAAACTATTTGTTGGATCAGTTAAGCTAGACTCATCAATGTCACTGAATATCTCATTTAAAATTTCAAGACTTTTAAGAGCATGTTCTTTTGAAAAAACAGGCACAGCGGTGGTTATGTCCTTGAGAGTAAACAATTTGTGACAGTTTGCCACACAGTCAGAAACTAGATCCTTTGAAAAGCCATGGCAATACCCAAATGCACTGCAGGAATGACTCTCCTGCAACTCACAGAGAGCAGCATTCAAAATACTCCTGTCCTCGTCACTTACATTTCTACATTTGGTTGGTACTATTGTTGATAGAGCTGATTTCCTCTCAAATGGCTTGACTGATTCGGTACAACCATTTGAACCACTGCAAACATAGGAAACAGCAGTCATAAGATGGAGACAAACTTGCAATCTCTGGATCAAATGTCTTGTAGCTTGCTATACGGTAGCAACCACTTATTTTCAAAATGTCACGCACATCTTCCTCGCAGTGTGCCAACTTCTGACCATAGAAATATAATAGAATGTCTAAAGACAGGCCATCTCTTCCAGCCCTACCTGCTTCTTTATGAAAATCAAGAAGGCTTCTCGCAGGACCATACATTATAACATAGCAAACATCAGGAAAGTTTAGTCCCATACTGAGGGCCGTAGTAGCATTGGCAATACGCTTTAGTCCATTGTTTTTAAATGAATTTAATAACCTGTCTTTGTACTCTTTATGAGAAACTGACTGAAATATGGCAATCAAACAATTTTTTGGTTGCCATGATGAGCTTGGACGGAAAGCTTTTTCTCCAAGTGACATTATCAGGTAGTTGAAACACTTGCAATGGAGTACATGGTGTCACAGAACACAATGGTTTTGGGAGTTTCCTTGCCATTTGTCTTTATCATTTCAACAATCCAATCAAGTTGCTTTAACATATCAGTTCTTCCAACTTTGTTGATAGATAGTCGCAGATATTTTGCATCTGTTTGGCCTGACAAACAACTTGACAGGATCCTTCGTGGCAAGCTCTTTGATAACTGTCTTCTCAGTTTCCCTATCTGCAGTCCCAGTGAGAGCCAATAAGGGAATTCCTTCAATAAAACAGAATAATAATTAATATACTACAATCCTATCTACAGGACAAAGTACTGAAGTCTTGTGGCGAGTTCGAGAAGCTTAACGTTTTCGGGGTACATATGAAATTAGTCAAATTATCCAGTAGGTTTTCTATTGCAATTTCATCATTTAAATTAGCAGTTGGTTGTTGTACATGAAATGAGGGCACGAATAAGTCTACAACTTTCTTACACTTAAATTATTGCCCTTCTAAAGCCCTTAAAAGCAGCAGCATTTATATCATACACTGTATTATTCTTTTTCTGTCTTGGCAGTAATGCATGTGAATGAATTACCATTACACAAGGCCAAGCTTTAACCATTGGATACCAGAAACTAAAAATAGGACCGATTGAGGGTAAAATTATAGAGCAGGTTCATAAAATACTGGCTAACATGAAGATTAGGTTGTGGAGGTTTTCATAACAGTTTTTTTGCATATCTGCTGTATTGTTTCTGATTGTTTGACGTAGTGTTAAAAATACGAATGACACCATGTAACTTAAATTATTTTCTTACCGTCTTTACGCATTGACCGAAGAATAGCTAACTTTCCATATGCTGCACGGAACACTTGAACAGGTTTCGCACCTTTGCTTTGCTTTTTTCTAGCCAAATAATGAAAAGATTGACAAAATATAAGGTTATGAGAGACCACGAACTATATTCTAAACATGACACCCACAAGGACGTAAACTACGATGAATTGGAAGAATCTCACCTTTGTCCTGTCCAAGCTTCCTCTGTGTGTGATTCGTCGACCACAATTGCCGACACAGCTTGATGTAGAGCACTGTTTTCTTTTACAGCGGCAAGGAATGCCTTTTCTAACACCGTCTCAGCGGAGCAATAGAGAAATTGAGGTGGACTCTCTCGAACCACATTCAGTGCTTCCGTCATAAGTTCTATTGCCGTGCAGCTTAACGACAACATTACACAAATCTGGTCGTCTATAATACTTTTCAAAGGGGCAATGACAATCACACACGTTTCTACGAAGACAGTACAGAGACTGCTCTTGCCAAAACCTGTTGGCAAAATTGCCATGACATCTCTCCCATTAACAAGATTGTTAATGGTTTTTTCCTGCTCTGGCTTCAAGACAATTGCACTATTTTCCTGACGAATATTCAAGAGCGACAACGCTCTAGTTAATGCTGTGAAATGAAGTGATTCCAAACGTCTAGTATAATTTGACCTGTGGCATCAGTTAACGGTCGTTTCACCTACGGGTCATTTCGCCTATGGTCTGTTCACCCATGACTAGAGGCGATTTGCCTACGTCTTATATGTCAGTTTGCCTATGTCTTAAAGTACATCTTACAACAGTTGATTCACCTACTTTATGTGCGATCGTGCTCGGATGCTAGTCAGTCGATTCAACTCCTAAACCATGACTTTGTGTTCTTAATCAACCAACTCAATATTAACCGCCGCTTTGGAGTTAAGTTGCCTTTATACTCGTAAAATCAAGCCTATCGAAGCTAAATAATTGTAAATTATGAGCCTCCGTTTACGTGAAAATCCGGGCAAAGTCTCTGCCATGAATGGTTTGCAGCTCAAGCCATATCCTGTGGCTTAGAGAGTTCTGGACAACCTGCATCGTTCAGTTTATTTAACAAGACCTGAAAAAAAAGGGGGGAAATAAAAAACGTTACTTAACAATTCTCAAGAAAGAAAACCAATCCCTTAAAGCAGAAACTGATACTCTTTTTGCATTTTAAGGTATAAAGATGCCTGAATTTGTTACAATTCTGAAGAATGAAAACCAAGCCCTTAAGGCAGAAATTGGTACTCTTTTGAAAACAGCTAACCGTCTTTCAGTTATTTTTCTCAAAAATGGAATAAAGAGTTGTTGTTGTTTTTAAGAAAGTCTTTGAAAAGTTTGTAGAATGTTCTGAATTATCAAATAATTACGACATAGAAAATTAGAAATTAGAAAATTTCGGATTCGAAAATTTCACGTTATTCTTACGTAAGCGCCAATTAGCTAAGTTCACTTGTAAGTCCGTAAGGTGCAAGATAAATACCTCTCCCACCATTGCTGAAGCCAGCTTGAACTTATCCTCCAGAGCCTTCTCTTTTACTAACTTCACGATTTTGGCTGCTGTCACTGCCCCTGGTTCTGAAGAATGGTAATGGGCCTTGGTTCCTGCTTGAAAAGTTCCATCTTGCTGTATTACTGTAGCCTTGCAAGCATTTCCTCGAGGATGGACCGTGCACTGCCAGTAAGTTGCGTATGACCATTTGGACCTGACGTTGTAGCTGTATCGCAAGCTGTCCACTAGTTTTGTTTTGCGATGCATAGTCCCTTCTTCCACTAGTTGGAATGCTATGCGATTGTTTGGAGTTAGATTCTCGAACACTGTGACAGCTCCCATGAGTGGCTCCTCGATGGAAGATTCAATGATGCCGAGACTTGGCTGTAAGGGAAAAATGAAAGTCCAAGGTTTGCAATGTAGGTCATTAGTTCATCAGTTGTCAAGTAGTATTCTCTATTTTACGGATTTGTTTAACTTTAGAGTTCACTAGTAAACACTAGCATTGAGTAAACACTTAGTGTATCTTTGGGAAATAGATAAGCGCAAAACATAAAACTGTGTGTAATTTCTTTAAACCCTCCGTATCCTTCCCTCAGTCCTTGTGCCCAATGGAAGGCTTGGTGCGGCAGAGAACATAGTCACTTCCATGACTCTTCTGAGGTCTTTCAGTTTTACAATCACACGTTTCTTAAATCATTTTAAGCAAAATATTGTTCACACATTCTATTTGCAGATGACCGGGTTCCGCCATAATAAATCATTTAAAAACATTCTAACTTGAGCGTTTTAGCGTGTTGGTTTTCTAGACATAGAGGATAGCATGTATCGACTTTTGTTGTTGTGTTTGACATACAAGATGTAGGCGATTCGACTCTAGATGTAGGCGAACGGACCGTAGGCGAAACGACCGGATACTGTGGTATCAGTAATAGTAGCATCGAGGACATGGTACTTGGCTT